CGAAAGCCAACAGTTTAGACAAAACCAAAGCAGTTAGCAAATTTTCTAGCGAGTTTGCAAATTGGCTGCCCCAATATTTCTGGGCCTTGCTGTAAGCAAATATGGCATACTATGCCAGAATAGCTGGCTGTCGTTCAAACAGAGTTCGGTTCCCACAGGTATATGTACATATTGATACATAGGTAAATTGAAAGCAGCTCCAAGTTTGAATTATTTGAAAGATTTATATCTTAGTATACTTCAGAGACAATGCATAAAGATATAATAAAAAAAAATAGCATGAATACAATACTCATACAAAAAAATGATAATCAAATCAATGATGATATGATAATGATATCAAACATTTTTTAAGTAACAACCAAGTTAGGTAAACCATAACAAACCAAATTATACCACTGTCTACTAGTAATACTATCTTCATCCGTACCATCTTCGCCTTCCTCATCACCTTTACTAATATCAACTTTGATTTCTGGTTTGACAGGAGGCTGTTTTTTCTGACTTGTTGGCCGACTTCCATCCTTTCTTTTACCAAGCTTACTGTCTTTACCATCCTTATGTTTCTCCTCTTTCTCGACTTTACTGTCTTTTCCTTCCTCTCCTTCTTCCCCTTCTGTCTCATCCTCTCCAGGTGCTTTCCAGTTTGGAATAAACATTCTGCGGGTCATCTGGCCGGTAGTTCTACCCAGTTCGAGTATACCTGAAGTATGAAAGACAGCATTTGAAGAATGGCGAACATAACTAGAATCTAAGAGAATACTAGACTAACAGACATACAAGACTAGAAAACTACACTGTATGATGATCAGATATATTAGAATAAATCAAACATTAGGTTCTAGAATATAATATAATTTGATGAAAATAAACCACAAAAAAAAAATGAATGAATGAATGAATAAAATGTCAAAAGTCACTGAATTTTCTACCACATCCTCAAACACCAGCATGCTATTTTGTTGTGATTGGCTTCTATTGGGATGATTTCTGGATATTGTCATTTTCAAGTATGTATCTCTAGTTAAGTTGTGTTATTCTCCACAGAAATGATCAAGTATTTAGGACATTTGTAAGAATAATCTGCTAAATAGTAGAACACCTGAATGGAATGTTTATTACAAATAAATAGAAAATCAAAAAATGTTGCAGAAAAAAAATATATAGATATAGAGAATATAGAATTACTATCACCTTTCATTGCTGTGTTGAACTTATCAGAATTGTCACACAGAGTACAGTGCCACTGGTTAGATAAAACACAACCAACACCAGTTAAACTCAGTAACATTGCTGTCTCTACAGGTCTCTCTAAAGACAGATCAGTTGTGCTGTGAATAAACAAACCAGAAATCAACCAATCAAATTACGAACTAAATAACCTACATGTATAAATGAGTCCCACTCAATGACAATGTGCCCTTAGCAAGCAACTTGATATAATGGCTGCTTCAATGCAGGAGTGTATTGACGGGCAAGCAAAATACAACAATAACCTGATAAACTTAAGTATATATTTTGATTGGGGGGGGGGGGTAGTTGAAAGCTTGCAGTAATGATGAAGTATAGATATGATTGTGATGAACAGGCTGTCCATAATGTAGGTAAAACCATAGTCCCTCCTTTGTTTGTAAACCAACTAAATTTCTTTCAAACATGAATGTCATGAATAAATCATAACACGCATATTATTAACACTGCACAGAATACTCAACAATTAAAGGGCGGTAGTCGTCGCGCTCGGTCCTTTTCGATATGGGACTCATAGCAACGTACACACCATGTGTAAAATACATTGCTTGTTTGCATGAAATTTGAATAAAATGGAATGCTGCACGACGACCACTGACCTTTAATAATTATTGAGAATAGGGGTGACATTATATTCACATGCATGTCTATGGAACACACTTCTGGCACTTTGCAACCCATGTCGAGCATTGTATACAAAATTGAAGTTAATGAAACCTCAAACAATGGTTTCCAGACTGGCGGGAGAGGGACGGTAGTAAAACAGAACATGTGTACCGATGTGAAGTATTGTGATACCCTATGGTAGGCAACTTGATATTTTGGTATTCATCACAAGTCCTGTCAAAGTTTAAATCATACACTGAATCATATATCTTACCTTTTGATCACATCAATTTTAGACTGTCTCAAGAAACTCTGGTTGGTTTGGACTTGGTCTAACAGCATAACAAATAAGCACTCTAAAACATAAAAAAATATGGGTGAAATAGCTATGTTTCATATTTAATGCATGAATGAACAGACAATGTGCCAACAACCTCACTCATTGTTAGAATATATATATTTTTTTAAATTAGCATCTTGAATTAATAGTGAAATTACAGATTAGAAAATTAGCTAAAAAAAAACATGTTTTACAGTATGTATTATAAAAACAAGATGAAAAAATCAATATGCTAGAGAAAATGCCTTCTATATTCCGTTTTGATTGTTAAATCTATTACACTAACCTGAGAGGTTCATTGGGATGAGTTTTTCTGGCGGGAGATATGATAAGAACTTCTCCATTCCATACATAATAAATGCAGTTCCATCTGTTAATTGCATCTCCCATTCACCAGCACTGACAAACAAAACAATCAACTCCCCAGTTAGTTTACAGGTATGTGAATTTGAAAGGATAAAACTGGCAAATGTTGCATACACAGTTTACAAGATTCTACTCACAAAAGTACAGTTAAAAATTGTAAACACACTTCAAAACTTGCTATTACCTATAGAAATATACAACTGCTTTGCTTACCTTGGTACATGCTCTTTACCCACAATTCCTTCCCATCTACCAGTGAATTGGCTCTGATACTTCTTCAAGGCCTCTGACATAATCTCTATAGGACTGTAAACTTCTGTGAATATTAAACAATTATGTATTGTGAAGTTTTACACAAAGATAGAAATCAAAGAAAACAATCTGATGAACAGTTCCGAAGAGAGTAACAGGCAGCTCACTCTTATCATATGGTGAACATTGCTAACTATTTGGGTTCCAAGCCTCATTTTCGCATTGATGGAACGTATCGCTGGTGAATTGTACACATTGTAATGTTGGGTGGGATGGCAGTCAGCAATGGCCGCTACATGAAAAGAGTGAATTCGACACAACAAGTATGTACTGTAAAAGAGCTGCATACATATTAGGTAATCAGCACTTTGAAGTACTGTAAAATACTTTATTTTCGCTTGGAATTAATTTTCGCTGAAAGAATGATTCAGTGAAAATAAAATCCAGTGATCATACCTTTTCTCATTTACATTCAACTTGTCAAAAATCAGTGAAAATAAATTCCATACAAAACACCCAAAAAGTCTTTTCAGCAAAATTAATTTCAGCTAAAATAAAGTATTCTACAGTATCTAAAATTAACATATTCAATAACCACTGACAATGCATTATAATTTTGTGAAAGTAAATTAAATATACTCACCGTTTTCAGAGCATTCATCAAAGGGATCAACTACGTCTGTAGCAACCATAGTTAAGAAGATAAACAGAACTTGGAAGCAGAAAACTACCGGTACATACAAAACACTATTACATGATACTGATACATTTTATTAGGTAACAGCAGACATCCCCTCCCCCTAACTGACAGTTTCTATCAGTTTAAAAACATCACCATATTTACATTTATTAGTAGCGCATGTGTATATGTAAATGACGGGCTTGTCTATGGTCAAAATAAGTAATATTCAAATAATCCAACATACAGTGAATGTAATTGTTTGGTCATATGTGCTTCTAATAAAACAAATAAGGTATATATACATGTATGACATGAGAAAATATCAAAAAAAAAAAAAAGCAGAAAAATTGGATTTCATATGTCCTTTTAAATTATCAAAATTCATTTCATTTTTAACTTCTCTTTCTATTTAATCAGCTGCCATACCTTGCCCTATGTGATATTTTGTGAAAGATAGACTGGAGTAACAAATAAAATAAAGAAGTAATAGATAAAGGATACACCTAAAACCATGTGTATCGAGTGGCAGGCAACCAGTCGGTATATTTCTATCTATTGGAACCTACAGAGAAAAAATAAAACTGTTATAAGATAAATTCCTAGGGCACTATACATTCATTTTGAAAAACTGCACTTTAACCTCATCTATTATGATAATGGAATGATCTAAACTGCACCAATGTAACAATGCTGTCAAGTCCAGATTGGACAAAAACCAAAGTTGTAAGTCATCTTGCTAACTGACTGTCCACATAATTCTTAAAATGGCTGTAACATATTGCCTACTGAAGACCTTAATGGACAGCAAAATGAATGGGAAAATACAACATCAGCAGATAATGTTAATAATGCACTCACCATCTTGACATTTTTACTTTTATCTTTAGCTGCAGTTTTACTGGCTTTAGCCTTAGCTTCTTTCTTCTTTTTGTCTTCTCCTTCTTCTACAATAACAATTCCATTTGTAAGACAAGCAATGATATTGATGAAAGCTGGTATAAACCTCTGGTACATGTACATTAAATCAATTTTAAGCAGCAAGCAATGAATTTGTTTGTGATATTGAATTTATTTTATTTTGTGATTTCTTAGACAAAATAAAATCCCCCTAGTTATTGTAAACAACTTTACTGTCATGGGAACACTTTTTTTCATGAATCAGTGAAAATCACAAAATTTTATAGCTGTGATAATTTCTCTCGGGGGGGGGGGGGGTCATATAACACGAAATGTCAGCAACTATCACGAAATATTATCTTCTCAAATGCCATATGAGTTAAGCGATTTACAGTAATTTGCAGAATAGTACAGTGAACACTGGAAAGTATTGAGAACATTGTTTAGTTTGTAAGGGTATCTAGGGAATTCAGAGTGAAATTGGCGTGTATGTGCTTACTGTGGGAACATTTGTCATGTCAGTGCATCAACAGTGAAATGTGCTACATAGCACAGGAAATTAGAGAGTGACTGAGAACAGAAATGTGGTAAATATCAAAATACAGTATGACTATTAGTGTGCGTGTACATGTAATTTTGCAGCTTTACAAAATATTGCAGCATACCTTCTGGCTCCCGATGAATCCTATTGTACAGCATCTGTAGGGAGAAGTCTCTTGATAGAGAGAATATGCTAGGTAGTTGGAACATAGCTAAAGCCTCTAAAGGTAATTCCAGCAACCATTTATCTGCCAGGATGATCACATAGTCTTCTATTGGCTGGCTGTCTTTGCCACTCATTGACGTGGATAAATCAGGTGGTCTGTGGTAGTGAGAAAGAAAATACTGATTGGCTGAACGAGGTCTATAAGCCAAGAATTCATTTATATTTGAACCATTTTTAGATCAAACTTGTACACGACACATTGCATTGCATTACAGTACAGTACAGTGCACAAGTATTGTTTTTTTCCTCTGATATTATTTCAATTTTTATGAGTATTGAATTGAAAACTGCTAGGCATACCCAAGCAGCTGGCCAGTATTTTGATGAATATAGACTATAAAAGGACAGAGAATGCATACCTGAGTGCATGTTCAAGCACAGCTGACACTGGTCTGAGATAATCCTCCATTGCAACCAACAATTCAATAAATTTGTCTCGCAGTCTTTCTTCTTCTTTTATTATCTCATCTGATAGCTCCTATAATTATGACAATCGAATTAAAAATTTTTCAAAGAGTGGCATGGTGTAGCAAGCGATATGCATTGGCTGATCACTTATAGCATTGTAGTTTCTGCTCACTTTAGAATAAAGGTTTGGGAGTTTGCAAAATTGAACACCCTCCCCTGGGTGAGAGAGGGACAGTAATTGTCTCCTTTGGTTTCATTAACCCTTTCAACACCATCATTTTTTGCTGCCAAAATATTGCCGCAACATTTTCTATGTTTTCATAATTTTGGACCAAATGAGCATAATTTTCCAATTAATACAGATCTTGATCAAAGATTTTGAAAAAAATATGGTGAAAAGTGGCTTTGGCATCTAACAGGCTATTAAGAAAAACTGTCTACTAGTTTGTGTTCAACAAAATTATGTATAAAATTTGACAAATGCCTTATTACAGCCGTTCTGAGAATTATCCGGACAGTCAGTTAACAAAATGACTTGCAACTTTGCAAAACACTTTGGTCTTTGCCCAATCTAGACTTGTCGGCGCCACTTGATTGACGGGCGCGTGGTTTGGGATTACTATTTCATAGGGGTTGTCGGCATGGTGTATTGCAAGTATTATCTAGCGTGCGTTTACAGAAACCATTCTTTGTTTTTTTTATATTTATATTGTAGTTATTTTCAGTAATTTTAAAAATTGCAAGTTGCGTGTTGCTTAAATTTCTCGAAAATGTCAACCCCTCGCTCATTTTAGTCAGTTGTACCTGTTACAAAAATGCAAAAGACATAATAACGGTCGTCATACCCTCGTCATTTTCAAACTGCAGTTGAAAAAGTGATTTGCTCAAGGAAGGCACTTTTGATTTGACAAAGTCCATCAAACCGTTATACTCAAGTTTTTCGTCTGTGTATCCCTGACGTACTCTCCTACCTTGGTATAAAATCTGAATTTGAAACATAATGCACCAGTAATGTAAAAACAACTTTTAGTTTGCCTCAAAACTGTCACGAAACTGCAGCGCGTCCAATGCGAAGGAACTCAGTTTTGAGTCTTCCCGCCTACGACGAGTTCATTAATACCCGGGGTTACTCAACACTCGGGAGTTGTTTTGCAAATTGCGCTATGTCAGGTGGACTCAGACAGTTATACCAATTTAAAATAACACTTTGAATGCATATACAACATATAACCTGTTAATGTATGGTACCCAACGCGTGTCGTTTTAAAAACAGCGTTTTACCCACATCTATCAAGATAATGAAATGCCCCTAATTGTGGGCGTGCCAATACAACGATACAATACAAGTCTAGATTGGAAAAGATTCAAGTGTTTTGCAAAGTTCCAAGATATATTGCTAACTGACTGTCTGAATAATTCTCAGAACGGCTGTAAACTGCCAAAATGCCACTATGATAGACAGATCAAAGTGCTGCCCTGTCAGGTTGTCCAAAAAATGGAATATGGTTCCTCCTCATGTGTATGGTATGTATGCACACACCTTGGGAGATTTTGTCTCCAAGTTATCTTCTAGGTTTTCCAGCATCTTTTTTCTCTGTGCTTGCTGTGATCTCTGATACTCAGCTTTCAATAACATCTGCATCACATCAAACTTGAATTGACGAAATTTTCTCAGTAAATCGTCCAAGGCTGTGGGTTCCACTATGGTTCTTACAACTCTAGCTTTGGAACCTTGGGCGGCACCGGCTTTAGGACGCGACTCTTTTCCTCCTCCTGATTTTGGTTTATCCAACAAGGCTCCATAAAGTAAAGATCTGGTGAAGTGGAAAAAATAAGAAAATAACATTCAAACGTTATGGCTGGCATGTGTTTCAATTCTTTGTACTGGGGAGCAATGAGTGCATAGAGTATTAAAGTTCTCATCTGAGCTGACCAGTGATTAGGTGAAATTTTTATTCAGAATTGTCTGTATGCAAAACTGGGAACATATTAGACCTATCTGGTAATTTGAAACTACCTTGATTGCTAAAATAGAAGTGTTTCTCCCAATAGGGGATACTGAGTAAGCCATACAAATCATGAATTGTTTACCTTACAATCATGCCAACTGAGCAGATATGTTGAAGAATTTTAATTTGTGATTGTATATCAACTACATGGTAGTACAACTATGATGACACAGGATAACTATATAAGAATTTATTAGAAAATACTAAATTGAGTTCCATGGTCCTATAATACTTACTTATCCTGTGAGTGTTGTAACATCAAGATAGTGAAATTGGACGGTAGTTCTTTGATGATCTCCATATGGTGTGGAGTGACAGTCAAATGCTTCCATGCCTGTCAAGTAATAATCAGTATGAGTAGAACTATTACAACTGCATGTGCTATTACAAGCACATAAATGACATTTACCATAACAGTCTATGGGACAAGAGTTTATATATGGTACATAGTTATCACATTTTAAGCAAACATTCCCCTACAAAATCAAATTTATGACGGGTTTTTAGGTTTCAAAAAAGGGCAGTTCAGGTGATTTCTTTTGATAACTTTAGCCAATCGTCATTTGAGCTGTTCAAAAGGCATAGTATTGTGCCTATTGACTACAGAATTTCATACTTTCTAGGTATATTTATGTATATGGCAACCAACAGCTTGGTGCTTTCATGTTTAAGAGAGATGTTTAAACTTATCTCAAAAATTCATAAATATAGTACAAGTTCCTCTCTTAACAATAATTTATGCATTTCTAAATTCATCCATGAGTCAGAGGGCATTTCAGTATAGAGGGGTAATGCTATGGAATAACATGCCATCTCATATTAGAAATTCAGCATCATTAGGCATCTTTAAGAAACCATACAAATTATATCTTAGTGAGAAATTTGTTGTAAATGACTCAAGCCAATAGTGTGTATAATGTTGAATTTTTAATGTATTTTTCTTCTACAGAGGGCCCAATGTAAATTACTTTATTGCATTTTGGCCTACACTCTTAAAATAAAGTGTTAAATAAAAATTAAATGAATAAACAAATAAAATTAGATATAACAGCCTATTCACTAAATTGATGTTGTCATCAAATACACATTGTGGATACTATTAGTTATTTACAGCAGGCTTTTAGCTAGCTGTTTGTCTGCCTGTTTTTTTAGACAGGAACTCAACATTTTAGACAGATACAAACTTGTCCAATTTTCATTGAAAATTACCTATAAATTACAAAATTACTATAAATAATCAACAAAAAATAGACTAAGTCTATGGCAACAGACTAACAACTGCGGTTTTTCATTTTGATAAAATATTTTAGACAGGCACTGCCAATTTTTTGGCTACAATTTTAATCTACAGTAGGATACAACCCCAAATAATAATTTATCAAATACATAATAAACTTACTTCAGACTCTTCTTGTAGATGACTATTAATTGATTTCATAATGCTGCTTCGCACTAGGTTGCTTGTGACATTATCTGACAGCAAGTGTTGGCGTTGGTGAATCAACGCTGCTTGTTGTGAAGTGGTCGGATCACGCTGGGCTCTACACAATACATTTTCCAAACTCAAAGAAGCTTGACAACTCTGCAAAAATGTATTCAAAATTAATATCAA